TTATTCTCTTATAGGCCTACTGGCTATTAAGGTAGATTGTCATCTGATTTTATCGGAAAAATCATCGCCTGCCCCTCAAGAAAGCTGTTACTCTCATTTACATTAATTACAAAGCTCTTACAGCTTCTTGTTGGCAGCTGATGATAATGGCATGGAAAGCAAGTTCTCCTTTAGCTTTGAAGCAAAACTCTTGTTTAGACTATCAACAAGACTGTTGATATTTGAAATGGTACTTATTATACCTTTGTCACACCAACACCTAACCGACAACAGACCGCACAAAAATAATACATTACGTCTATGGCCAAGAATTTGGCGGTTTGGAGTCGGTCTAAAGTCGGTTCAGCAGTGTGACTGAGGCTAGACCTGGCTCCACATTAACATTTTTCACAGAGGGTTCAATTTGAAATTTTTGGGTCTCTGTACATGGGGCTCTTCTATTGAAATAATTGAAATTTAGGGGTCCTGACTCCTGAGTTAGAATTTTGGGGACTTTTGTGCATTGGGCACGGGTTAGTGTAAAACTCATTCATTGGTAAAGCACAAACATACATTTATAGGCTTCTTACTAAATACTCTGTGTATCATTCAATATGAATGATGGCAAAAATATCACGTACATATCTATTGCCCAAAGCTCTTCCAGTATGTTTCCTACAATGTGCATGCACATTGAACATTACTAAATAAGCCCTACCCAAATTGCCTCTCCCCTTGGCCCAAATCCTTTGCTTTGTGTCATTTATATTTCAAAGAGGAGTACTCAAACAAGTCATTTCTGCAAATATGACTTCTTTTTGGTTTACCACACCATAGAAGCATAATGCACATTTCATGCTTTACTAGCACTCAATGAGTCCAATATTCTTCATGAATTGGAAACTGTATTGTAAAATATTGCTGAGCTCATTCTTCACAATTATCACAGAGCCAGTACTTGTTCCAGATTTTAATTCAACTTGCTAAGTCATTATTGTCAGGGTCCTTTCTTCTTTCTTTTTGTGCATCTAGCCTAGGAAATGTATTGAGGATAGGACTCAATATTTGTTGACTTCTGTGAGTCAGGGTTGATGGCAACTGTACATTGATGTAAACAAGAATATGTGAAGGTATGTGAAGGTATGTGACCATCAGTCATGCTTGAGATGACCGTGAAATTATTATGACTTGATTTGTGCAAATTAGGTAATGTGTTCAAACATGATATCAAAGATATGTAGACAGACATCCATAGAAGTTTGTTTTGAAGAGACCCACCTCAATTTTTTTTGTCATTTGATATCCTTGTTTTGAAATGAAAATGAATAACAATCAGGTAACATCTACATGGTTGAATAACAAAATCTTTAATATCTTGCATTTTCACTTTGTTTTAAGCCACTGAAGTGCATTCAAATGTACAAATTCAATGCAATTAATAATATTTGTGTTAATTAGACCGAACAACATTTTGATGTACAGGAAATATAGCAAACATGAAATAACATACATGTAGAACCCCCTCCTCATTTTTTTGAAAGTCTAGACAGGAAACAAAGAATTAATGTTACCGTACTTGGTCTTATTTAGTCTCTCCATTTCATTTTCTCTTTAAAAATAATTAAAAGTATTTGAGGTTATTCTGTCAGTTTACATGTGTCAAGTAACTCAAGTTAAGAGTAACTCCTACATGCCGTTTTTCTTTCCATGTAGCATTGTTTTATTTTGCCGCAGCAGACTTTTAATACCTTGCGTGTGAACTAGGCTTTAATGAATCCAAATTATTCCCTGCCTGCATACATGTGTAACAGTATAAATCCCAGGTCAGTGAGATGGCTGCCTGGACGGTGACGATATGTAAGGATTCTATGCTAGATGCCTTACATACCAAGGGGATTTATTCTATTTCTTGCAGAGCGTGATGCATTTAGATTGATAATAGCTAAAAGCATTGGATATCTGTATTCAGTCAGTTCTCTTCTAGTGAAAACAAGAGGTCATATTGATGCATTTACCTATCTATGCATAGCCATTACTCCGTGAACCTGATATACATGAACATAAGTGGTATGGTTTTTATAGCAACAGCATTGGATCGACTCTATTTGCCACTTTCTATCGTTACGCGTATATGTATGAAGCCAAACATTTAATGTGTAATATGAGAGGATATTTTATATCGAAATTGAAATTGAAAGAAGCGTTTTAGTTCAGTTTGTACTAATTCAAATCAAGATGTAGCAAAATAGCACATACAGTACGGTACACTACATGTATAATATCTTTATGTGTACCCTTAAGTTATGATTAGATTCTCAATATACACAATGTACGTGAAGGCCGGTGCTCTCTTTTGATTTTGAAGGATTTATTCAATTACTTTGTTCTAGATGTACATGTATGATGTAGTTTAAGGTTCTCCACAAGCTCTGTTTTATCTGCTGACAGCCAGAAGGATGTTAACTCCTTGTGCAAGTACAATTAATGTCTTTTACGCTCTGAGCAGACGATGCCATGTTTGGATGCTTTTAAAGCAGGCAGGCACAAGGTGATGCACTCTGAGAAGATGTCTTGCCCCCCATAATTATTGTCATCTCCATCACTAACAAAAGGAAAATCATGGTAATCTGATGATGAGATTGTCCTAATCATGTCATCTTCAGACTAGGCTCTGCATGGAGCAGATGTTGTTATTCTGCTGCCATTACTGAATCCCCCCTCAGGGTATGATGGAAGGAGATTGGGATATTACTGAATGGGCCTTGTTTCACAAGCCCCAGTTTTCAAAATAGCCATCTCATATTGCCAGCTATAGTTTTAGCTACTTTGCAGTGGAGATACACAAAGCAATTTTAAACATATTTGCACTATTCCAAGCCAACTATGGCTTGTTCATGAAATAGCCTGCTGTTTGTTCAAGTAACAGCAGGATGAATAAATTTGCTGATAAATGTCGCCTCGGACTATGATATACTCTAAAGCTAGAGCCAATTTCTTGAGCAAGCAGGTATTTGCTTGACCCACAGTCTCAGGCTAATGAAAACACAACTTCAATGGGGGTAACTTTTTTCATGAAGTCTTCTTGATACCTCAAGTTTGAAGCTTGTTTGGGCTAATGGAAATGCACCTTACCTTGTTCTTTGTTAATATGCGATGGTCATGCCTTTGTGCATGTGGATATGTATGTAGGGCCTACATGCACATAAGGCCAAATAACAAAAATGAAGTGTTTCTCGTCCCCGCCCGCCTCCTTTTGTTACTATTTACTATTCAGAAGAAGAAAAAGGCCACCTAAAAAGCAAAAAAATAAGGTTGTGATGAACATTTTGTTTTAATAGCTCTTAAAGTGATACAAATCATAAAAAATTAGCTAAATAGTAAATACTGGTAGTAATGCCCTGTCTCCTCCTTTTTTTTAAAAGTTGGGATGAGAAACAAGTTATTTTTGTTATTTGGCCTAAGAAGAAAAGCAGATGAATGTGAGAATGAAGGTTGAGGCCGATCAGACATTTCATAGGAATTTTAGGATAGCAAGTTTGTAACATAGTGAGGACCAGGAACATATTGAAAGACATAGAGAGTGGTGAAAGTTGGAGAAAAATCAGATAAGACGTATGCTTGTTGTTGATGTCGAATGTTTAGAAATGTGGCTTAACTTTTTTTTTTTAAAGAGTATAGACAGTTGATCTTTTCTGAATTTACCACTGCCCTCATTGTACTTTTTTCCTAGTATTTTTAGGGGTAAAAGCAAAATTCTATTCCAAACCCAAATCCTACACATAAAAGTATTTTAGTTGTATCATGCAGGCTTCTCGATAGAGCACTGCAAGTCACTCAGCATGTGTCTCCCTGTTCAGAGACACAACCTCCAGAGCTGGCTGTGCAGTAAGAGTAATAGCTCCCTCTGTGGTTAAAAACACTATAGTCGAACAATTGCCATTTTGGTGAGGCTATTTTTCCGAGGGTAACCTTATTCGGTTCCCATGGCCTTGCATCATGTCATGACACAATGTTCTAAATTTGGCTCATTGTATGTACCTGGACAGAACATATAAAGAGAATAAAGAAATTGTTGAGCCTCGAAATGGGCGGAGGAGCCCCAGAATTTTGTTCAAATATTTTCTTTGGAAAAGAAAAGGGAGATATTTAATAGTGAAAACTGTACCATAACATGTTTACATGCATGCATGGCTTGTTCTAAATGTTACTTTATTTTGTAATAAGAAAGAAAGGAAAAGATATCATGTGATATTTAGTTTAATAAATAATTTAAATTCTTTAACAGCCCAGCCAAAAATCAAGGGAGGTAAAATTGATTGATTTGGACCTATTATTAAATCGAAAAATATCTTCAATATCAATGAAATTGTTTTGTATTATCAATGCAAAAAGTTGTTGAAAATGGATGTGACTACTTTATAATTCCATCCACAGTCAATTTTCTGGACATTGAATTGACATATAAGGTGTTCTATTTTTCAAAACATGTGAGAAATGCAAATTTCTATTTAAAGATAAGTTTTCGGGTACTAAGTTCAAATGATTTGCCAAACACGATTATGGATCTAAACTTCTAAAGACATATCCAAAGCTTCTGGTATTGGATTAATTTGTTTAATTTTTTTTTATTTTTTAATGAATTCATGAAGTATTTAAGTGAGCCTTGTAAATGTCAAACCACAATTTTGGAGAGAAAAAAAATTGCATACATTGAGATATATGTAAAAAAGGTGATAATATGAATTTTGATTCCATGAAGACATATCCATAATCCATTTTCATAAGTTTTAAGATAAAAATCGGGAGTTTTTTTTTATTTGACTGGTTTCCTGTTTCGATAAAAACAGGTATATATACTTTACTGTTCAATCTAAGATTAATTAAATCAAGTGTTATTAAGAATGAGATTTTATGCTATGACCCATCCTAATTTTAATCTTGGGGTAAATCCCTTCCATTACAGAGATTAAATCTACCTTTGCTTCCTCATCAGTCGTATATTCAGGATATACCTGTTTATTTACAAACATCAATGTATTGATCAACCCTCTATTGTATGAAACATATGTGTCCTCCAAAATAGATTGAAAAGTCTATAGATACAGGTGACAAGAGAATACAAGGGAATACAAGGGGTGATGCAATAAGTTCCATGTTGGCAATATCGAGTGATGACTCACCCATCAACCATCCTCGTTACTTTCTTTTGTTTGCAGCTCGTTGGAGCAGTGCACCCAGCAGTGAGCATAATAAATTTATGATAATACAATTCTAATGATATGAATTGGCCCTTGCTCTTGCATTGAATTCTGGGAAATGTAGTGATGAGTCATACCCCAGTAGTGAATAGACATGAGAGGTGTATGAATAAACATAAGATAGAATTGACTCATGAATATGCATGAGGGTTGTAAAGTGAGGAATTGGCCAATGGCGATTGAGAGTGCATAACACACCTCCAATTCTCATCTGCATGATGAGAATCAGGAAGCTGTGATTGGTTATGTGATAAAACACCCACTGGGCATGCTCAGTTGAGGGGTAATTTTATGCTGTTGGCAATGGAAGAAGAGAAGTCAACGAGAGGAGTGGGTTGTGATGTTTTGAATGGTATTGGATATCAGATCGGAAGTGTGCGTGAATGAGAGTAGTTCAGGTTATCACATGCTGCTATCTATCCATGTGTCAGAAAAGTGTATCAGGCCACAAGAAGGAGTTTCATAGATAGCTATCAAATACCACATCCTCTGAAATAAAATTTCATTTGGTTAAAAGATTTCATCAGAGTTTCATCAAATTGATCAAAACATCTACCAAAATGATTCTAAAACGCATCGGATACGCTTTTGGTCTCGGCACGTTCATCTCGATGTCGAGTTGGCTGGTGAAAGCCAAAGAGGGTTTTTGGTCTTCGTTCGTAGACTGGATTGGGACGGTCAATTCCTGGCACTGGGATGGAATCTCGGGATCCAAGAACCAGCTAGAGCTCCCATTCCAATATCTGGATCCAGAGAAAGGGACCCTTGGTCTTGGTAAGTCCTGGCACTCAATTGGTTACCAAGAGAGAAAAGGATGATAAGATTAGAAAATCAAAATATTACATGTAGTTTATACATAATGATGACTTCTTTTATTGCTTCTGGATGAATTGGTAAGGTATTAAAATGAGCAAACAGTTGGAATGAAGTGAGATTTTGAATATTTTGAGAATTTGCAAGTGAGTTCACGTACATGTGTATTGTTAATAGTATGAAAGTATGATGAATGTACAGTGTACATAAATGTAGCAGTAATTTTGATATTCTGGTTTTCTTGCTAATTTGTCTTCTAAAAACGCCATTGTTTGTTTATTCTGAGCAAATCACTGAAAATGATAGGGCTTGCACACATATTTGATGTGAAATAATTGCCTGATTTGTGTTGAATATCTAGTCAGATTAGTTGTCTCCCTGCTTCTGTTACTTTTTTTTATTTTAGTGTTGTTTGTCTTGCTTCTTTTATCTCTGTGGTATGCTGCACATATATATATATATATATATGAAGTGAAGCCAAAATGTAAATGGTAGCTACATGTATATATCACCACTGTAAACCATCATTCTATTAGCTTTTGGTTTGGTGTAGGTGAGTAATATGCTTCAGATAATGGGATACAATGTGCATTCATGAAGGCCTTGCATGGAACATGGTATGCAGTATGATGTAGATTCTGACATGGGAAAATATATAACAGATAATGCTATCACAAGATAAATATGCTTATAAATGTGCCTGTATATCTTATAGAGATAAAGAGACCAATGTCCAATTAGACATGAATATCATTAACGAAAAAAGAGGAGAAAATAATTTCAAAGTTATTAATTGAAAGGCTGATTCATGACAAGGTTATTCAAGAAACATAAATCTTGTCTGTAATCATGTTTTTCATATTTATTTTGAAGACATTCTATGACTTGACATATTTTCTTTCTATTAGTCATACTACCGGTAATTTGTTTGAAAATGTTGAATTGACAAAAATCACAATTTATCAGGTAGCATGAAAAGTCCAGTGCATTTTAGATATTGCTGACTGCTCAAAGTCCCTTTGTCTATCAATTTTGATTCAGGAATATCTTATTGCATTGTATTATTGTACACAAAAAAACAGGAAATTATGAAATATTCACTTGTGAGTTGTAATAGAAGAAAGATAAGTTGGATGGATTATTGTATCATCTTGAACAAGGAACTAAAGGATAATAAAATATGTGCGAATATTTCCCTTGTATTTCTGTTTTTGCATTCCCACTAATAACAATGAAACAGACCTGCATTGCCCTGAATAAAAGGAATAAATACATTCATACATTTTACAAAAGGAAATTCTGTTATTTTTAATTGAGAAACCAAATTGTGGCATTTGGTGTTTTTTATCTTGCACAAGGAACTAAAGGAATATGAAATATGCGTGAATATTGAGGTCTGCTCTTTGTATCTAGACGACAAATATATGAAAAAAAACCTATAATTCATAAAGAAAATCAGATCTGTAGATAAACGGTTACTAAATGCTATACTTTGTTTTTAAAGCCAAGTAAATCCTGAGTCATAGTTTAGCAGCTATCATTTATCCTCTTCTTAACTTTCACTGCCTATGTATTATTTAGATCACACTTCTTACAAGATGTATTCTTGAACTTTGTTTTATGATTCCATGAAAACCTTTAAATATCTTAATCATTCATTGAACATGATATGGATGAAGAGAACAACATATTTTAAAGATGTCTGCATTTCCTTGTTTCTTTGAATCAACAAGCTGAAGTATATTATTATACCAGGTCAGAGTAAAAAGAACCCAACCATACAATACGACTGTTTGTATTGAGGTCTGCTCTTTGTATAGAAGACAACTCCCACATTTTTGTAATTTTTGTCACTGTTCATGGAACTGGAATGAGTAAATAAGGATAGTTTTTTTGGTTAAAAAATTATGTTGGCATTTAGTGCATTTACCACACACAGTTAAACTTGAATTCATGTCATGTTCATGGATTCAATTATCTGTCTAAAATGAAAATCAGATATGATACATTTTACAGATTCACGCAAAGAAGATGAAGGCATTTTTCTCAGTGAAACTATCAATCTTTTGTGGATTGTTTTGGGTTATACTGGATTTAGTATCTTGTAACTGAAATATGGTTCAAAACAACATGGGAATACATGTAAAAGACAAAACAAAATAATGTGATATAGGGTTCTAAATAAAGCAGATCGAGGTAAATGTATAGTTGTCTGACTATATCATTTATCATACTCTCTGTTTTTAAGAATCGTTATATGAATGTGTAGTCTAATATTCATCAGATGCCACAGATTAATTTCATCTTCCTCTGAGAAGGGATTAATATGATATCATCCATGTGGAGCATGATATAAAAGTTGCCATACTATCTATAGTTTTTCCCTCTCAGTTGAACTTGAGATGGCTTTCTTGGTCTTTTTATGGACTTCATGGCTCAAGAACTCTTTTCTTCTACCGGTTTATTATTCTCTCGTCATCCCTTTGTCGGACATGCTGGATGCACATATTAATGCTCTACTGCTCAGTCGTGATTAGAGAGCCAACTTATCATACATGCCTGTCGTCTGTTGAGTTTCAGAAGGATGTCAAATCTGTGTTGAAGTATTTGAGTTAATGCCCTTCTGGCTCTCAGCAGACGTCGTCAGAAGGACCCAACCATGTCATCATTAGGGATATGGAATTCATTTTCCGTGTGAAAATAGAAAAGTCCATTTATCTGTAACACACCACCTAGTCTAGGTGAGGAAAGTTGGTGGCATATTGTCTGCTCAGAGCAAGAAGGGTGTTAGCTCAATTACTTAAACACACTTTTAATTCCTTTTTGGTTCTCAACAAATGGTATGCACTATGCACTGTCTAAATTGTGGTCATCAATAGCATCTCTCTGTAAATACACAGAGGTATGGGGGAGAGTAATGAGGATGATACTGCTTGACAACAACCAGGGGTGGTTTATTTCAACTATGTTATCTTTGAGATTAGGGAATGTATGTTGATTGCCACATTAAATCTGAATTAGGATGAGACAATGTCTGCATATAGCTGACAGTGTATGTTCTTCAGAGAGTCAGCTTTGCAAGCACCACTGTAGCGTTTGTTCAGTACAATTTCAATTTGTAGGTCTTTTGCTGAACTAACAGATAACACAGGCCCCAGATGTTCGCTTCACACACATTTCTGTAGGCTACGCAGACCAGCAGTTGGTACACTGCTTTCTAGTTCAATGTTTGTTATTGATGTCCAAAACTCGTTACCGAATCACAATTTATTTTATATGAAGGAAATACATGCAGCCTGAGCAAAAAATTTTAAGAGTCCCGACTTATTCATCTGTGTAAACTTATTGATAAAATCATTAAGATTTCAATAACATTAGAGTTCAGTACACACCATTATGCTTTCTATGACTTCTTAGTTCTATTTTTCTATTGCCATCTCCTTCCTTGGCCTCTCCTCTTACTTGCCCCCACCTGACCCTAATAAAACAGAGCATCTGCCTATCATCCACCCAAGTCGATCAATATTCAATTATCTAGTCCCTCCTACCAATTTTCTGTGGCATCCAATTTGGAGCCTTCATCACTGCCCTGTAACAGATGAAGCGATGCGTGTACGTAATAGAGAAAAATTTACCAGTAGAAAAAGAAGAATGCTACCATTAATGAATGTGCCTGTACTTCCTGTGCAGCTTATACTGGTACTTTCTCATAGGCAGGTCTCATGAAACGAAACGAAAGTTGTGGTCATATCACATATTTTCGGCTGAGAGCCAGAAGGGTGTTAACTCTGTGTGAAAGTATATGTGTTAATGCCTTCATGGCTCTCAGCATACGAAACACAACTTCCCTCATAAACCAATTTGCTTGCTCTATCCTTCGTTTTCATTTGTTGAGAAGAGCCACCGTTGTCCAATTTGTTACAGAGGCATGTTGTGGTTTTGACAAACTTATTGAAAATTAATTAATCCACATGATGTAGCATGTGATTATGTAGGATCTTTATGTATTTGCCTTGTGGTTAGGTGGTGTATGAATCATTGCCGGGTACCAAAGAAAAGAAGGGAATATGTGACTGGAATTTGCTTACCGGTAAACAGTTATGAGATTTAAGAGTTCCAATAAAAGGTGGATGACCGACAGTAAAATGTTAAACAGAAAATAAATGTGAAGTTACAAAAGTGGCTCTAAACAGATTGCTATGTAGAATGTTCTGATATGTGGATGGACCGACAAGAAATGATGCACCAATTGGAGATTTTTCGATAGCAGTGCTTCACTTTGCTCCATAAGGAAAAAGCAAATAATTTATTTAGCAATTACCATAACAGTGAAAGAAATGTCAAAGAAAGTTGTTCAAAATAACAGATCCTTTACCCCCAACAACCAGGTTCAACATGTGTAATGACCGAAGCGACCAAAGATGCGTGGTTGTACTGGAATCCAGTCTGGAGAGGTATTCTAAAATGCTACTCGTTCGTTCTTTCATGTTGCGTTGCACGGAAACTCCATCATCGTTTATGCCTGGATTCCAAGCCTAACCTGCTTTATCAAATCCACATTAAAAAAAAATGAATATGTTACTTTAAAAATTCCTATTTACTGTTGCTGTGATAGTAAACCTAAAATTGAAAATACTTCATGTGATAGTATTTATTATTGATTTTATTATTATTTTCTCATTGTTAGCTTCTAATGCAGTATCTATTATCAACAACAAATCTTTACATCAGGGATGGTATTGGCTTTCCCAAGAAATATTTTTTGTTGGTAATGTGCTGCCGCAAAGAAAGATAAACTGAAAACCATGGCAAATCATTATCCATAATAGTCCATGATAGTTTACTCCTGGGCTCACAATGACCACCAGCAAATTGAATATTGATGCATAACAGACACAAATCTCAGAGAAGAAATATGAAATGATGAAGATTTGTTGTTGATGGGATTTTTATATATGTACTTCATTTCTTTTTTCCATCTTTTTGCAGTTTCCAAGAGTGTAAAAATGTGTGCATCCATGTCTCATAAGATGTTGTGCCACTGTGATTTTTATTCTAAACACAAACTGTTTTTAGAATTATGAGTTAAAAGTTCTATGTTCCTTTCACCTTTACTTTTTTTTTTTTCTTTTTCAAATATTTCATAAAACTGTTTACATTAGAGATTTTTTACTGAGATCTTCCATATAGTACAATTATTTATTATTATTTTCAATTGACAATAATGTTTACAACATTTTATGAAAACAAACTTATTATAAGTATAAACACGGTTTTGTTTTTGCTTGATGCATGAGGTGCATGTTGTAAATATTGACTCCTTTGATGAATGCACATGACTGACTGCACATGTATGTTACAGTGTCACATGTAATCACTACTACTATGCATGTCTTCTTTTGTTAGTTTCGATGGTATCTGAATGTTACGAATGGTTAGTTGTCTGTGAAGAATTGGATTTATGTAGATAATGAGTATCAAGTTGGAAGTTTTTTTCTATTCTTTTTCCAGAGTTATTAAACATTGCAGTATTGACAGACCGTGAAAGTTAATTTGTTCAGGTTCTCTGATCTTAGATTACAAATAGATACACCTATTTCTATTCAGGTACATTGTATGTAACAGAAATGCTTCTATTGCCCATCATAGTAGATTAGTTTTTTTTTTATTATTGTTTAGCCCCTGTCTCACAACATCCACTGGACTTAAAGTAAAATAATATTTTATTCAGAATATGTAGGAGTTGTCTTTACAAATATGAACATATATGACCATAAGATCTCACTTTTGAATGGATGGCTGGATAGTTAGTATAATAACTTTGATCACAGTTATATACAGTAACTTGATACATGTTTTTAGGCGTTGTTTGCTTTAGGATATGAGGATCCGTGTCTTTGTGTATTTTGTCACTTTGGATATTCCCCTGTAGTGTACTCCTATCAGGACTTTGTATTGAATCATAATTGTGTTGTTGGTTTGTTGTTATGACGTAGGATATAAATCTTTCTCATTTCTTCCCCTTTTCTCCTCCTCCATTTAATGTACAGGAAATTCCAATAATACCTCACCTACAACCTTTCCAGGTACACAATGAACTTGTATTGTATAGTGTATTTCTGTGTATTTGCTTCACTTTCATTTCCAACTTTCCTAATTTAGAAAAGTGAAAAAAGCCCCTCACATTTTACAGTTATTTTGCAGTACTGAGTGAAGATGTGAAGTAGTGACTATGTTAGTAGATTTAATAGCATATGTTGCCTATGAGGATATGTTTCTGCCTCTGTTTTTCAAGCAATATATTTTTGTCTTCATAGATGTGGGCGTGACTAAAGTATGCCAGTTGTTCATGTTTTCATTTGGAATAGCAGGGCACTAGTTATGCCTGTACCCTGTCCCTGTATGCTTTTCTATTTGTGTAACACAAAGAAAATGTTAGTGTATGACTTTTCATTTTTCTCATGAGCTTCTCATCACCCTGTTGTTTTGACCCATTTTGTTGCTTAAATGAAAATGGTAGAAAAGAGGATGTTTCTTGAAACCTTTTTCTCTATGCTCTGCAAGATGTATCCCTACACCTTTCTGGCATTTTGAAATACTCATTTGCTAATGATACCAAGAAATAAAGTTTTTTTATAATTATTTTTTAAAATTTTTGATGATTTAAATTTGAAATTGATAATTTACATACAGAGACATGTAGAAGATGTGATTCATTGGTGATTAATTTAGACCAAAGAGGGTTAGAAATATTGCCTCACTGTAGGTTGAATTGTTTAAGACATTTAAGAGTTCCTCTAGTCAGCACTCAACTGCAGCAATAGTATATTGAACCAAACCCCTGGAATTTTTGAGTAGAAAATGGTTAGCACATCATATATTACATTTATGAAATCACAATATATTCTTTTTACCATGAATGAGAAATGCAACATTTGACCGTGCATTACTAGTGAATGTGCCTGTAGTAGTTATTATAGCATGTTCTGTCATTGTACCCATACTCTATATTCATTATGTGTTATTAATTATATAATTATGTAGTGAAGGTTCGTGTCAAAGAGAGAAGTGACTTTATCTTTTTCTTTCTCTTTTACTACTATGTGTGATTTTGGCATTGTCATTTTGTTTGTGATTACTTTATATAGTTTATGTCAACATCAAATCATATCACACAGATACATTCATCATGCTTCCATTGTATGTTCATTCATTTGATATGAATTACTTTGAAACCTTTGTAGACCTTATCTTGGATTTTTATTTGTTTTGCTACAGATTGTAAATACACATGTCACTACAAGTGCTTGAATGATGTGGGACTGGACTGTATGGAGTCACCGGAGCTGCGGAAAGACACTCCAGACCACTCGCCGCAGCACACTCTAGTCTCAGTAGAGGTAAGGAACAGAAGAGATTGAGCGGGCTATTATTATCAATGCTAATATTAAGGTGGCCCTATAGGCAGGCCGGCCCCCATTCCTGTAAAAAAAAAATTGTTAAAAAACACCCCAGAAGGCCTTTGCCACTTAACGTTGCAGTGAGTTACCAAGTTACAACCCCTCCCCCTCCAACCCCCCCTCAAAAAAAAAGGAGGGGGGATGGGGTGGTAGGCCAGGGTGGAGGTCTTGGTGCAATTTATTTATTTATGGTGACCTGAGGCTGAACAATGGGTTAAAAGTTTGTCCAGCCATTATACTTGTACATGACCATGTAGATTTTCACCAATTGAATCCCACCCCTCCCAAAACCAAAATAAAAGAGAAGTTTTTTAATCTTCCAATGATATCAAAGCTGACACAATCTGAATACACAATATAAATGGCAGGTTAATAAAAATGAAATTGTTTAAAGTATTTCACAAAGCCTCAATAAAATTCTCATTTGTCTAGAAGAAGGACAATGCCATTGCTCCAAACAGGATCTTAGAACTTTTCTGTCTACAATAGAATTTTCCATTTACAGACAATTATGAAAGATATGAATGAGGTCGAGGCTGCAAAATATCCAAACTTCAGGATCCATTTATTAACTCGTAAATGTTATCGACTCATACAGCTCTTTTGTGTTTGGGTAACGTTCCTGCAAATTACCCGTTATCTTTTGAATGAACAATGACGTCGGTTTCCTGTGTAGTTATAGGGGAAATCAGTGTGTACTTTAACGGCCCAAAGATATCACTTACCAATAGCCCAATTTAGGAGTATCCTGTAAACCTAGAGTGGAGTTATCAGTGTTCCATTCCTCCTGGATGACAATATGTGTTTCCTCACACAACAGTTAACTTAAGAAGTTGGCAATACAGTAGGATTTGTGTTTCAAGCCAGAAGGGCTTGTTTAAAGTCATATATTTCAATTCAGAGTTAATGCCCTACTGGCTCTCAACAGACAACACAACTGCCTTGTATGAAAAAGGTTATGCCTTTGAATATCACATAATATAACATATCTTTAAGCCCCATCTTTTTAGATAATTTTACAACCTTGTTTAAACAAAACGTTCAAATCATTCTTTGAGTTAGCAATGGATGTAACTGATTAATATTGTAATTTCTTGGAAATGTACTCATAATTTTCAGTCCTTGAAATCTGTCAAGTCATTGTCACTAAGTGCAGTTTCCAGTATAATTCTGATTCATGTTCCAGCCAAACAGGGATTCTGGTACATTCAGTCCAAATATTTTGTTGAAAATTGTACTTGGCACATCATTTTGAATCTTAGTATCTTACCACAGTGTCTCTGGCAGGACAGTGAATATTTCATTAATGTTGCTATGGGAACTAACATATGAGGTCATGTGATGTACGTCACCGTGAGGAAGGCAGTACTTGTTTCTCATCTTATTTTTCAAGGAAAATAATGATTGTCATGGTGTTGCCTAGTTCCGTTTCCCTGTTTGTCCTACGTGCAGATTTAGTTGGATGCAGTTAGAATAGAGTTATCATCTTGTTACTATGGTGACCAGCATCTCTCTAAATTGGATGGGTTTTCCTTCTGATATGCTTGATTAGTTGATTGAATTGTTTTCCAGATATGGACAAAAGAGATGGGTAGAGAGAACATTGGGAGAAAACAAAACGGACAGACATAATATGTGCAAGCTAGTCAACAAAGACTGTACATGACTTGAAACCAAAATTTAAGTTTCAGTACTATACCAGTTCAATCCCTTTAACTCTGTTTAGCACTGTCATGCTGTTTGTAATCTAGACCATGGGACGGTCTATAGTTAGGACAGGACATAACGCCTGTTTACAGTGAAGGTATGATATTTCATCCCTGTATCAGCCACCACACTCTTCCATCCAGGTCTTTGGCTGATGCAACATCGAGCAGCTCCTTGGAGATAAAACAAGCTAATTTGCATAGATGAGGGTTCATTTAGATAACACACATCGTATTTGCATAGATGTAGGTTTATTGAGATAACAAGCAGCTCATTTGCATGTTGATGTAGGTTCATATAGATGACAAAAAGCATATTTGCATAGATTAAGGTTTATCTCTGTGCTCCTCTCAAAGATTCCTCCTCCATCTAACTATGATAAGCTCTCTGCACCTGTCCTCCTCATTCTCTCCCATGTATTCTTGATCCTGGTACCAAGACTGGTTCAATATCGAGAATGCTGAGATCAATAACAGCTGGGATCATATCATCTAATTACTTTTTGTTCGCCAATGTCACTTTCATGATTGATCACTCTCAATACAGTGACTTACTCAATCATTTTTTTAATTACGGAAATTGATTGAACATTTTCAAAAGCATCAGAGTTCAATCCTGTTGTAATGCCTAGGTAATTAATAAGTAAACAGTAGCAAATTGTCTTTAAGAAATAATTTGTTTCATAATCTGTAATGTTGCTCAATTTGTTGCTGTTTCACTACCCAGGGGGATCTAGGACTTGGTGTGAATAAAAGGGGGAAGTAAATCTAACAATTACATTTGGAGAAGGGGCACAAGAAGACAATTAGGAGGGGCACAGTGTACTTATGGTATGCCTCTTTAACTATAATGGGGAGGGGGGGGGCTCTCTATGCTACTGTCACATCATGTACCTGTTCATGCAGGATTTTGCAGGATTAGACCTGACATTTACATCATGGCAACCATACACTTACAGATGTCCTTGCTACTAGTAATTCATTGACACTGTCACTATCACATTTCTATGCCGAACATCCTCTCTGTAAATTCAAGAACAGTGGTTTGCTATTGTACAGTAACTCTTGGATTACATCGAGAAAGGTCTTACTCATGATTTTAGTGAGTGAGGTTGATTTCATTTCCTTACCCACTTCATGTTGAATTTTGGTGTGAAATTGATTGATTGGATAATGATTTTAATGAAATGGCAATCACCCCTGATTGAGCACAAAGTTAGATTAGTTGTACCCCAAGAGAGATGGGTAGATTTGATTTTTGTTTCTTTCAAGCTGGCTGATATTGTGAGCTTGGAAACAGTAGGTGAAGATAACCAAATGTTTGAGCAAAGAAAGGTTATAGAAAGTGATTTAAATGTTCATAGAATTAGATTAAATCACTTGTTTTTAGTGGAATAAGAAGAAGAAAAAAAAAATGAACCACATGAAGAAAGAAGATGATGAAATCTGTGTAATGCAATTTTCTGCTGTCTGCAATAACAAGGGCTATCCCCTAATGAAATATAAGTCATGTGACTGTCTCCAGGACTCCACCAAAATTGTAATTCTAGGGTATATGTGCATGATCCCCCTGCATGTTCAGATTTTGAAATCATTATTTGGGGCCTTGCGGTAAAATTTGGGGGCCCATGTGTCCCAAGCACCTGCTACTGTTGAACCTTTAATTCTAACTATCAGGATTTGTCTTTATGTTGACGTCTCGTGACCGTTACCTGTCTTCACAAGGTTGTAGTGTACAAATGTGTGTCAGATCACACTGTGAGGTACAGGCATACCTAAAAATACTGTTTTGGGCCAAATGGAAACAAACAAACAAATATACAGATAAATAAAACAAACAATCAAACAAACAATGTAACAATGAAATATATAGGCCTCGATAACTGTACTTGACATCACTTGTTTTAATAAATTTCTATCTTGTAAACCTCGCCCCCTTCCTGCAACCTTATTCTTTATCTCTGCCAAGCCACACTGTAGGGTGCTATATGAAAATTAACAAAGAAAAAGAATTAGGTACCCAATTACTTTCATCGCACAAATCATTCAGAATGCGCAACTGTTATCCATGGAATTCGGTATTTCTTTTCTTTCTCACATGACATTCAGCTGATCACAATTTACCATCTGGTATGATAATTTGCATTGGGATTCGGATACTGTATTTGCTTGGTTTACGGTAGTAGGGAATACTTCGGTATATCTGCACACTCATGTATGGTCAGAAAACAAATACAGGAAATGGATGATGTCATGATGATGTCACGCACTTTGCATGGCATTGTTGCGTTTCACTTTGAGGCACATGCTCTATCACTACTGAAAAATATGAAAGAAGCATCTTTACTCAGAGTTAGACGATGTAATTGAGTCTTCTCTGTCACTCATTGAATGATAAATATTAGATAAACAGTTTATATATTGCCAGGCAATGAAGCAAAAGACAGAAAACAGAAGAGGACAGAAATGGGTTGTGGGAATTTAGTGACAGTGGTTACAAATTGTCAGATCTGTCTTGCCTTGACAGATGTCATGTGTCATATTTTCTACGAGTGAAAGCCATATTGTTTTGTTTTTATTGGAGGCGGGAAGCATCTTGTCTTGTCTCGACAGAGTTTGCCCGATTTAGAAGAAGATTCCTCCCTTCCTGTTGAAACCCAGTATCAGAGCAAATAGTGTCCCTTTTCTTTAAATGGTCGAGTAGGAAGAAAGATGAATTTTCGGTTAGTAAATGTCCTTTACTCGGTTCATCTAGATCTTTACAAACTCTGAGATTTAGTACCCACTCCTTATTGGTCCCATAGATGGAGCAGTTTGTTTTAGAAATCTAGTCATTTAAAATGAAAAGAGTGACGGTAGGATTGGCGTTCATGTGAACCTTCATTACAATGAGTCAATAGATATTCTAGGGGCCCCTTGTCAGTTCTGCAAAAGACTGACTTTTTAACATCTCTGTTGAGTCAATTCTTCAGACCCATGGACAGGTTTTCCTGTGATCCCATATTTACCAAGACACAGTGGTAGGTAGGTTCCTTAATCTTGATACACCGTTAAATCCTAGGTCGGCCTAGGCGACACTGCAAACAACGGCTCAAAACACAAGTTATCGGTTTCTACAGTAATTTCAGTCAGATGAATTGATAACACCTTGCCATGTCAATATCTTGAATATTTACTCTTCAGAGCAATTGATGATGTTACGGAACGAACTGCATACACCTGAGCAGAATATATTTTTTTTACAACTTGGCTTAACGAAGCAAACTAATCAAGGCAGTGTCAGATTACTGCATGCATAATACAATTTCAACCCATGTACCACACCTGTGTACTATGGACTAGAACTGGGTCTTCCCTCTTTAAGTTCAACTTACGACTTCGGAAGTTTCAATAAACCGGACAATTCGGCAGCTTAACTTTCGGGGCGCCTCGCTAGAGAGAAAGGATACAGGATCTTACCAAGGAATAGATCGAGTAACATTGTAGGAGTGTTTGGCGGAGGAAATTTGCGAATTTCCACAGTTTCACGATGCCCCTAAAATAATCCCTTGCTTGCACCCTGAATGACATTACAATTTTGGAGTGTGCATCTCCCTTGAAGCATTTGTTACTTGTAGCTTCTTATGAGTCTTATTATTCTGGATTCGCCTTAGTCTTGGACTTGGACTTGGACTTGGACTTGGACTTGGACTACCATTTTGGATACCATATTGGATAATACTGGATACACATGTATGAGACAGCCATGAGGACTCTTCCCTTGTTATTTGGTGTATGTTCCTGTGTTCTATTCTTTTAAAAATTGATACTCAAGTCACATTAGGTCTACTACAAGTTGTTAAAAAATCTTCATACCTATGTATGGAGAACCTGTTCATGTATATACCTGTTCACCATAGCGTATTCTGTCATCTGCAGATAGCCCAAAAGGAATTACCTGATATTTCTTTACATGAATTAACACCCTTCTGGCTCTCAGCAGATGATGTCTATTATAGTTGATGAACTCCTTTAACTTTCAGCGTATCACTTATGAATCAAGCAATCCTTCAGAATATTTGGGGAATCTGTTCTTCTCTAATCCATTTTCTCTCAAAGTACAATGTACATTGTAGTATTGATTGAAATCAATATAAATTAATAATTAATAATTTATTGTTTTCATGTTCTTTTTGCTTATTCTCACAGGACATAGAGAATGAGTTAGAGAGCTTTGTATTCCTGACGAGGGAGGAGTTAGAACCAAAGATTGACAAGTTCAACACGCTGAGGACTCAGAAGAGTGAATCACTCACACTGGTGAGTACTACAGTGCTTTCCCAGTGAAAGAATTGTCTCTGTATTAAAATTAATCAAAAAACAGTCCATCAGATTTTGTTGTCTTTAGTTTCAAATGAGACTAAATATTAGAAATGGTGATTGATGTTAACATGAAGTAAAATGGAAATGAAATTGAAACTTTATGTAGTTTTAGTGTAATTACCTTTTGTTTTCCATAGTTTATACAACTCTCGTTAAATACATAGCGCTTGGATTTCAGGTAAAAAGCTTTTAAACATTGATATAGAATCAAAAGGACATTTATGATCATCATGATGGATGATAGAACTTCTATTAAATTCATGATAAAGGAAATAAACAAGTTTAACAGTCAAGAATGGAGAGTTACACTTTAAATTCCCTTTAATCTGGCTGAAGCACAAACCCTATTGTATAAATGACTTGTTTAAATCCTACAAATCTAAACACAGTAGCATAAAATCCTACATTTCAAAATGACTTGTTTATATATTACAAGTCTACATTGAGTTTTGGACCCTATGATTAGGCCTCCAGAAAACAGTAATTAATGAGGAAACCATGTGGCTTTTATACTATACTCCTTTCATTGTAGTAGACTATTTTCATCTATCAACAGCACAGACAATTAAGTGGTGTAGATGCATGCCACAGCTGGTAGATAGGTTACCATTTATCATAAGAGTTAAAAATATGGCCTCTCCGCATGTTGGGGCAACTGATGATGTGTAGCGTGGCCAATTTGCAGAGCAGAGATGCCTGTGGTCTAATATACCCGTAGAGTCCGTGTACAAGAGGAGTATGATGTACATGTATTAGATGTGAGGAAAATGATAATGAGGTTCATATATTTCAAAGAATATAGTACAGTATCAGGGTGTACATTAAAACCATAAACATTTGAAGCATGAAGCTTTCTTAAATTGTCATTGTTGACCATTTGGGGGGCATTATACTTTTTGAGAATGACAAACATATTGAGTAGAAATTAAATACTACAGCATGACAGTTTCATGAATCTTGATGATTAACAAAAAATTCTGGTGGCTGCTGGATTATGTAATCAAAGGATGATGGATAGAAATGTATCTTTTTGCTAATCAAGTCATGATCCTTTCGTCTCGTCTCTATCAATATACAGAATGAGGAAGGGACTCTGTTCAGTGGCCGAGTGACCGTTAACATCAACCTGGCCAGACCGGTTAGTGTGAGGACAGGATGCCCGCTACCGGACATCTGTGTAAGCACGCTGAAGCAGTATGAGCACAGCATTGATACCAACAAGAGACGAACCACCTTCTTCATGCCAAAGGCTACCTCTCAGGTAAGATGATGTTTCACATGGCTTCCATTCTGAGGTCAAAGGTCAGGATTCCTGAAATTAAATAGATGACCCTAGCCATAACCTTAACCCATAAGCCTTCATACTACTCTTTAAGACTACTCTTTAACCTAACTTGAACCTTTTTCGATACAAGAGACAAACCATCTTCTTCATGCAAAAGTAAGATGGTTGGCTTTAGTACTGATTTCAAAGGTTAGGAGTGTTGAGATGACAACAGTGACTTAAACCCTAATTCTAATCCTTTTCATACTAAAGTTCAGATTTGATAATTTTGTTGTGTTGGTAAGAAGGGGCTGAGTGTTGGATAGATGATGTAAAATAAGTCCTTATAGGAAATACAGAAAATTAAGTGTGACCCAATCTGTCCTTCGTACTTTCCAGCGGTAAACGATAAGGTAATGGAGAGACAATGATTAATGCTGCTCTAGTGATTCCTTTAGGGATTTCCCTCTAAAAGTCAATCTCAAATTAGAAAATTGGTTGGGAAGTACAAATACAAGAGTAATAGGAAGTGTGACACATGCAGCCCTTTGCTGTTGATCTTTAGAAGGGGCTAGTAGACTTCTCTGTAGATTCAAATCCTTTCTGGGGGTTGTTTTATAAAGCTGTTGGTAAAGTTACGCGTGACTTTACAAACGACTTGTATATGAAGTGCCAGATAGGATGCCCAAAGTTTTTTTTGATATTTTCAATAACCTCAATTAAATTATGGCAAAAAATATACTTCGCATTAAATTTTTTTTGTCATCATAAGAAGGTTAGTCTACTTCTGCACAGTTCAACTTCAGTTGATGTATTTAATAATGATTGAGCATCCCATTTGGCTTTTCATATACAAGTCCTTCATAAAGTCATGCGTAACTTTACGAACAGCTTTATGAAACACCCCCTAGGTTCTATACTCAAACTCAAAGCATATAAAAACAGGCAATGTTAAACTAACATCCTTCTGGCTCTGTGCTAACTGTATATTATAGGAAAGTAGACTTGTCTTACAGCCTTCTGGTTCTATGTTTACTGCGTATCAGACTGACATCCTTACTCACTGCATCTAAAGGTAGACAGACCTTTCCAATGACAATCAAATGCTATTTCTAGATGACATTTACAGTTTGCCAATAATTTTTCACTTAAGCATCAAGGAAATTGAACATTATGAGTGAATTTAATGTAACAATACATCTGTTCAGGTCTTTTGAAATTTTCCCTTTAAAAAAATTTGTTTCATATGGGTTGGAATATTGACAAAGGTCTCATGATGAATGCTATGCTTGAACTATTACAATTTGGGTGTAAAGAGGAAAACAAGATAATGGTAACCCCAAAAGCTCTTTCTTTAATCAGTATGCACAAATCAGTACGGCCATCTGCCATAATTTAGACCCTACCGTAAACATTATTCTTTGTTCAAAAAGTCTTTCCTAAATCCTATTTTGTATTTTGTGAAAAATCTTTGTTGAATTAGTTTCCAATCATAGTGTCTTTAATGATGGGCGATGAAAAGTCTATTCCAATCCTTCAAATTCTCATTAGATGCTCTCTTATCCAGACTGGCACGAAGCCATCCTAGAGGAAACATGCCAGAGATTTCTGGTATGATCAAATCCCCCTAGAGGCTCAGAGGAGAAGACAGATAGATGCAACCACAGACAATATTAGAAACCATCAATTCAAGAGAGATTTACTTGTTTTACCATTAGACACCCCCCCCCCTCCCCCTCCCCCCATTCCTCCTCAACATATTTCTTTGGTTACCCAACTATTCTGCAGTCTAGTCTACCGCCTGTCTCCTCGCTATTATATTACGTTAAACGGATGCTTGTATATATTTATATTTATATTTATATTTCACATTTCACATGAAACAATGAAAATGGATACACTTTTTGTTCATCTTAAAGAAAATAATCTGGTTTGATTTACAGTTTTTGGTGATGTCGTAAAATAGATGGAATTGAGTTTGAGGATTGCGTTTTTCAAAAATAGTTTGAAAATAGTCTATATACATTTGAATCACCCTGTTAAGCAGATTTTCATTTGATTTAGGAAGGATATAGAAGATCTCCCTCCCGTAGGCATGACTTCCTGAAAATGTACCCCCCCCCCCCCCCAAGTTTTAAGAGGAAAGGTTATAAGGGGGCATTGCAGTTGAATAGGCTGGTATATGGTGGACACAGGAACAACTCTATAGTCCTAGAGTGTTATCAAAGTGTTAAAACCTTGCACATTCTTTACTTGGGAGGACGTTGGGGGGTACTGAATGATAAATTGAAAGTGAATTAGAGGAAGTGAATGGACTGCCGACCTGCCAGTATGAGGCAGAGGGATGATTAGGGGATGGTATCAAGGGAACAGCTGACAGACCAGACCCAGCAGGTCAATCATGGACATGTTGCCAATTTGAGTGGACAAGACTGATCACCGCCCTCCCACGATCTAGTGAATTCATTCCAGGAATAGCCAGATGGGATCTATCTTATCAACATCATTTATATGTCAAACTAGGAGATATTCTCTTCATATTAAAATCTCTCCTCGATTGGTTTCCTTTTAATGAATCAATCTATCAGGTTTTTTTTTTTAATCTTTGTATTACAGGGCTCAATAGTAACTCTTCTTGTGAGGAAGTCATGTTAAGGGCATTATCAAAAACAAGGTCCAGCTGTATTTATCGTAGGAGTGCAGTAATTATCTGAATTCTAGGGAGTGATCTATCCTGGAACCCAAATATTGTCAAGCCTTACTTTATGTTTATGCTTTACTCATAATTTCTTTATATTCCTAATAACCAATTGTCTCTTTGAGAAATAAAACAAATAAAAAAGTTCTTATACAATGCCCCTCCCCGGTGCTCTGACAATGGCTCCAGGCTTTATTTTTTCAAAGATTATTTAAGGGATAGGGTCACAGTTTAGCTTTAGGTTAGGTTTAGGACAAGTATATGGTCAATGTTTAACCCATGAATGTGGTGAGTGTAGGATATTTATAACAAGCAGTTGTCACCAGAGCATGTTTTTTATAACCAATGCTGCCTCCTCATTTCGTTTCTCTCACCTAACTTGAAGATCTCTCTCTCTCTCTCTCTCTCCATCTCTCTTTTTGTAGGAGCTGAACATTACCTGCTACACCACGGCCCAGGATGTGATCAGGAACGTCCTAGCGGGACTTCAGCTCATAGACAACCCCAGGAAGTTTGCCCTCTTTGAGAGGACAGAGCACAATGGAGAAGGTGGGTGTGGCTTACTTGAGCTGTCAATCATTCAGAATTGGGTGGGGCCTATTCATTGATTAGTACCCAACATGTCTGATTGGCTATTTCAGTTATAATACACAAGGGGGATGAAAATTTCAGAAAGATGTCACCATGGGCTAGTTACATTATTAACATGCATTTGAAGGGTGCTAAAGTATGTGTCAAATTTATATTACAAGCAATCATACAGAGAAAGCAATGGTGATGTGTTATTCCTGTAAACTTGGAATTACTTCACTTTCGTTTCATAGTGATTTATAGATTGGACCATGGATAACTTTTGTATGAACCTATTCACATAATTGATTGATGAGGAAGTTCTATGACCAGGATTTCCTTGCTGATGGATACTATATAGATAGGTGAAGCTAAATTTAGTGACAGAAATAGCACACCAAAGGAGCAGAATAAATGTTGTACTTGAGATGTCCTACCTGAATTTCTCATGTCTCTTTGTTTCAGTTGAAAACAAATGTTGAATATGTATCAGCAAAAAATGTATCAGTCTAAAAATCTGCTCATTCATTATCATCATCATGATTGATCAGTATGTTGTACATTGAACTCATCTTTGTATACCATTAGACAGGAATCATATTATTCTTTAATGTTAGCTACCGTTTAGCCAGGAAGTTTATATGAACAAAAACATAAATACACCGGCAGTATGTGACATCCTGTTCATGGAAAATTAGTTTCATATCTCATATTGATTACAACACAACACATCCTGATTTGGGCAGGACCTTACTTAGGGATAAAGTACTTTAGTATTAGGTTTCATTTTTAGTCTGTTGAACTTCCCTGTTGAAATTATTACATTAATAATTGATTTGATGGGCTGCATGAATAGGGGGGGGGGGGGTGGGGGCAAAATGATAATTAGCTTTCTTCAGTTTGTGACATTGGCAAATTAGACATGCAACTGTTAATAAATAAATTAGAGGGTAAGACCTAAATGTATCAAAGAACACAAGGCAGCACAGATATTCAGCTCCTTCAAACTGACTAAAAACATTATATTTCAAGTACAATTCTTTAAGAGTCCTAGACATGTATACATTCTGTAGTAAACAGAACTCTGTAGTATACACAAAGTTCAGGGTATTTGAAAGCACACATGCACATTGACTACCAAACAAAGTGAAGATAGATTGTATGTTAAATCAAGAACACACATGCTAATAAATGCCAATTACTAGAAATATACATACGACATCAGAACAGAAGCTGTGTTTGGAATGATGATAAGAGAAGGACTCAAGCTAGGTCAAGAATGAATCAATAAAATGGACAAGGACACAGTCGTTAACTTGACAAGCAAGAGCCAAATGTCTTCCCTATACAATGAGGTTAATGAGTTTAATGCCTGTAGAAACCATTGGGGCTGAGAGGTATACCATTCTTTATTCTCTTTTCATCTATGTTGGAACACTTCCAAGCAGGAGATTAAATGAAATGGGTTTAGAAGATGCCATTGTGTTATCATTTATCACATTGGAACTTGAATTGACATGTAAATAATGATACAATCATATGATATAAAGACTTATAGATATCGTTCATTAGACAGAAAAATGAAAAAGCAATTTTACCAATTTTAGGAAGTATGAGCACCTGAAGAACTAAAAGTCAAAACAATTCAGTTACTTCAGGAAACTGAAGAATTACTTATAAACCCTATTTGCTCTCCCTGTACAAATTTAGCTCTAATAACAATCAGTTAGAAATATCATTTTTTAATTTGTTTTAACTGATACATCATGAATATTTCATACGCGTGTTCGAGGGATACGCCTATTATACTTCCTGTATCAAACACGAAAGTACAGGCAGGCATTGACCACATGTTAGTGACAAAATCATTTTGGATTTCCGCCAACCGGAAGACGGTATGAAGATGCTGTGATTTTAATTATGAAATATTAAGATTGAAAGAGGTATAATATACCATATATCAAGTAATTGCGGGTGGATATGACGCTAATACGTGTGAATATGAAACTACTCTGACAGTCAGTGGGTGGATGTTTATTGATATGGATGGGGCATGGAAAGGAAAACTGGTGGTATGAAAGGAGGAATATAATTGAAATACAGAAATCATGGCATGATTCATGAAATACAGTGTGCCAAAAATAAATGAGGTAACAAATGATGGAAGAGATGTTGCCCAAGATATTTACGTATTAGATTGTAAATGTGGGCTAAAAATAGTACTTTCAATTTCAGATATACATACACTGATTGGTTTTCTTGCTTCATTATAATTGTTAGACATAAATCTATTGGAAAGAAATGAAAAGAAAACTGAGTAAAGGGTTAGTTGCTTTATAGCAGATATATAAGCTATATCATTAATTATGTTTGATACATACATGCATGCATGCAACTGTTATTAAGTTAGGGAGAGGTTGGCCAAGGTATTAATACTGAACATGATATTCTTGGTGAAAGAGACACTGCAAGTATTGTAAACAGGATCATGTTTATCCAGACATGTCTTCCTAGTTCATGTGTGCTACCATCTGTCACCATAGGCTGGGTTTAAAGTCTCTAGGCATAAAGTCAAGAATAAAATGCAGTGCTTAAAAGATTAGTGTTTGAGTGGTATGAAAGTGTATGGGAAAATTAAAATATACCTCTTCTGTTTGATAAATTGTTTTTTCTGTGCTTTCAATACTGCATAGCAACAAGAGTTATGTAGAATGTACTCTTAAATAAGGGTTAAAACAATTGTTTGCTCTGTTATCACTTATATATTTAGTAAGATTGCCAGTAGATTATTTATCTTGAGCTTATACATTTACTTGAAGTCTTTCCCTGAGGAAAATGAGAATGTGTGGTTATGTCAGGTGCAATTTCCCTCTGACACCAAAACACATTATCTAAGCGATGCCCTCTCTCAAATTTGCGATACAATAATTAAGTAGTTTCGGAACCATGATATTTATCAACACAGGAAGCACCTGCCATTTTATTATAAAGTTTAATTGCACTTTAATATCTGAGGACGATCATCACCGAAGTCTGATGGTCAAACTTACCTGGCGTCATAAGAACTAACTATGAAGATAAAGGACATTTTAGACACCATTAGCCTTAATGGGGACATTGTATAAAGGGTTGACTTTTAGTTTGAGCAAACAATATCCTGTGTTTACTTTACTGATTGTATAATTTCAAGAATGAATAATTTACATTCTAGAAGTTGGGTAGACATTAATACTACAAAATTTGCTGATGAGGAAGCTTCACTTTGCCAAAAAGAAAAATGTTTTTTAGACTTTTGAATTTGCAGAGAGACCTTTCAAATTATTTTCCGTAAAATAAAAAAGGTTATCAATGTATGCAATTTCTTGATAGCCTAAATATATTACAGATTATAAAGGAAGTTGTAGTCATGCTCCCAATACCCCTATTAGTGATGCCCCTGTGCTCTTTATGTTCCAACTATTTGAAGTTGTTGACTTCAGTCTTTTAAGTATTTTGAATGTCACTAGTATCATGAGAGTGTTTTAGTTCATGTAGACTGGGTTTCCTTTCCAGACTGTATGTAAACTCCCTTGATGGACTTTCACAAGATTGGAATATGATTCATGAGCCGTCTTTTCTTTCTGTATCAACAACAAAAAAACAAAAAAAAACTTTTCAAACCATTTTCTTGTTTGCCGAAAAACTGAAATGTCATTATATGTCAAAGTTCTTGATCAATATTGTATGCCTCCTAAAAGCCCAAGACAAGACATAACATTTGTTTATCCAGATGATAAAACAACTTAGTCCCATTTAAAGGTCTATTTTGTTTTGCCCTTTAGGAGCCAGATAAATGTTTCTAAAATTGCTTATTTTGTATAAATAAATGGTCTGATCTGGTGTTATATTTCTATAATACATGTGTATACATAACAGCAACATCAATATCTAAAACAGATGATACAAATTGTGTTAAAAAGAAAAAGTTATCTAAACAATAACAATCACATTTCTCTTTTATTTTTCCATTTGAAATTTAAGTGCATGCAGCTATGTCAAAAGAGTAGTAAAGAAAGATTGCTCTCCAGAATAAATTTTATTTTTTATTATCCCACTGCCCTTGTTTGAGTGCACTTCCTGCATCTGTAAAGGTCATTATATTTGTTTACCTCAAATATATACCGGTAGGTGTATCCAGAAATAGGTTCCTGTCCTGGTGTTTCCTGTATCATACACAATACTCTAATAGAGCCATAAAGTCATTAATTCATGATAATAATTATAATAACATTGATCTGGCTAAGTAAGCCTCATCAGCATTGAAACTGCTCTCCTTGAGGGCTCAAAGGGATCCAAATGCCCTTCTGGCTTTCAACGGAACGTTTAACTGTATTCCGTAGAGAGGCTGGTGAATGTAAAGATGGAAATACTATTTTAAGCAACATGACATTTGACCCGTGACCTTTGTTTGATATGACCCCTATGCAGTGTTCATGAGGAAGATGGTGGATGAAGACAGACCTCTCTACATGTGCTTGTCCTGGACTTCAGCCACCGGCAGTAAGAGGTTTGAGCTACGAGAGAACGAGACTGGAGTTATTGAGGTACAGTACTGCATAACATGTATACACACTAGAAATAGGATATTGTCAAAATAGATATATATCACTCTATAGAGTAGTATAGACACAACTTTGTTTTTAGTTCATTTGTGGATGCTCTTTTTTTTTTTTACAGGTTATAGAGGTGAATGCAAAACTAAATCAGTAACAACAAAAATACTATACTTCTTTAATAGCAACATGTTACCAAATTTATTTATTCTCACTCAGATGTTGTAAGAAAGTATTGTCCATATAAAAATGTTTGAACTGTTTGACGAGCGTTTCTCCTCTTTGATTCTCCAGTGGGAGGCGTTCACGGTCCCGGAGCTCCAGAACTTTCTGCGGATCCTAGACAAGGAGGAGGAGGAGTACATCCAGGCGGTCCGACGCAAATACATCAAGTACCAGACTCTCCTACAGGACACTGTAGACTCCACCACCTCCACCACCACCACCCAGCAGCAGAAGCAGAGTGCTCCCATACACCAGAAGCAGATCAGTGCTTGAATGAATGAATGAAACTCATCCAGGCCAGGGAGCTGAAGAGGGATCCAGAAGGAGAACTCTCATCCTGATCCTTATCTTTCTGTAGCATCAAATGGCTTAGTTTATAGAGGCATACTGTAGATCATTCTTGGGGTGGTGATGGGGAGGTTGTATGTACTGGGTAAATAATAGTGCGAGAAAATGGTGCGGAGAAAAGGTGACTGAAAATATACATGGATAAATTCATGTCGAAATCCTTTTCTCATTCCTCAAAAAAAAAAAAAATCATACTAGGATATGGTGTAGGGTTTTAGAGGCTACAATAAAAAAGGAGAAAAGTGACAAGGACGTAGTGGCACTTTGTGGAATTTGAGATCAGACCTAACAATTGAAATGATCAAAAAGATAGTGATTAGTTAGAAATAACAAAATAAAAAATGACCAATAGAAGCAACATCAGAGTCTTGAAAGAATTCTTGATGTGATGCAGGAATTGTTGGATGGACTTGTTGAATGCCTGCTACATTTACCAATTAAAATAGATTATTAGCAGCTCTAGGTTATGTGATATGGCTCTAGTTAGTTCCTTATCGTACTCTACATAGAAAAAACCCTGCTATATATACATTGTAGGTCTCTTCTCTCTCCTTTGTGTGCCACTTGGGGTCATTGGGTAAAAAAGGAAATTAGTTTGTAGTCTTTCCCGATTGGACCACTGGATGTTTATATTTTATCTTATCTTCTTGGAATGTGGAATGATGACAAAAAGCAAGGATTATCCCGAATTCTTTAAGAACTTATGAAATTAAAAAAAGCTTAATTTTGATGGTGTGTTGGATGTAATGCTGAGACCTTCAATACAAAAAAATTGAAACCCAGTTTACTGTAAACAAAAAAGAGAAGTCAAGTCTGCTGGGGTAAACAAATCAAAACTGGATGTATTAGCTCTTAAATGGATTCAGTATTTATTAAATTGTTACTCTTTGTTAAAAAAAACGAGGGACTGTACCTTACATAGGAAAAGAAATATTGAAAACTGAAGAAAAGTTCTTTCAGAATATAGAAGGAAGGATTTTCCTTGCTTTCTGCATGCAGCTTGACTGCTTACATACTGTCATGAACTCATGATGATGTACATAAAATGTGTTGATAAACAAGATGTGCATATTCTATCACAACATATCGCAGAGACCAAAATAACATATGGTTGTGTGTACATAATGATCATCTTGTGCAGGACACAGATAACATGCCATCAAACTTGAACCAGTTAGCCCAAAGCTATCCTAAACATTCCTCTTCAAGAAACATCCACTTTAGAAGTAAGTCTCTTACTTTCCATCTGGGGAAGAAATAAGAACGGGAAGAATTCACAAAGTTTGTGATTTGAGGATACACCATAGGAATGATATTCTTTTAGATAAAGTTTGCTGTGTTAGATTGCATTCTTCTGTATCAGTATTGTGTAGAGGTATCTATGATATCGTGCTGAGTTTGCTGCTATTCATACAAAGGCATTGTGGGAGTGCATGAATGACTGCACTCAAAGCTCTGATAACCATCATTATAATCCTCATAACGTCATAGACATAGTCAGGGATTTGTTGCCTGTCACACTGAGGATTTTCATGCCAGACTGGTCACAATATGAACCCACACATTTATTGAAAGAAAAAAAAAAGAATATTGGGATTTTTATTTTTTAAAAGACCCCCTCTTTTTTAAATCTTTTTTTTTTAATCCTTGAGTGCAAGAAATAACAATATGGCAGTATCAAAAACTCTCACTTTGCCTTCATTGTGATATTAGCAGACCTCTTCTTTCACATTTTAACCAATCTGTAGTTTTTAGCACTCTGTGTACTTGCTGTGTTTGTGTGAGGAAATCAAAGCCTGTTTGATTTTTATCTGTGTGTGGAAGGCTCTTTAGGGCTCCAATGACATAATATGATTGCAATTGTGTATTGAATCTCTTGATGACTATGTGTGTTTAGGACATATTGTAAGGATTTATTTTTATATTTTGTCAGGAAAGTGCATTAACTATTATTTCTGTAAGGTTTTAGGATATACTATGTTGTATTTTTTAAGTTATTAGGAATTAAGGTACATTGACTGGAGACCAATGAGGCTTTTGTTGAGCATCAATAGCAGGGTGTCTAAACTTGAGCATAGCTAGCAGGAGAAAAGTGTTTCTTCACAATCTACTGTGATATTTTACTTCTCTAAATATCAAAATTGTTGAAGATTTGTCCTGTTGGTGCTAAGTAGGATCAAAACTATTCTTATATAGGACCAAGGCGGTAATATATTCAGGGATCTATTATGTGTTCAGACATTAGAAATATTAAGAGTTTATGTTTCAGGTTGACGTGCTTATACCTTGTATGCCTTTTCTACGAACTGTGTTCTCATTGCTACAGATCTTTAAGACATAGGTATCCATGTCATATAGTGTATGATCGGTGGATAGGCATTGTCTTTGGACTGTGCTCACTATGCCTGTGCAGCAATGGAGCAGTTTATAAGAGTATGGCAGTGGGGATAGCTCTATGTGCTGCACTCAAATCACATTGTATACGGTTGAAGATGTGTTTTGATCATCTTTTTATGGGAGGAAAAAAAAAATGTATTAATTATCTTGCCAGATGCATATCTTTGTTGATAATGCAAGGGGTTTATTTCTGAATTATATTTTGTAGTGAGTTAAGTTTATTCAGAAATTATGCTAGGATATTGATGTATTAAAACAGCAATGCAAATGGTTTAACCGTTTCTATTTAAACTTGTCTAAAGCTTTTTTAAACACAGAAACTCACTAAAAAGAAACAACATTTTGGGTTTGGTGAGATTTAGGTCACTTCAAGGAAAACATTTGCAAACCAGATAGTTGGATATGTTACAACAAAAATAGTAAATATTACATTTCTACCAACTAATATAGGAAATTCCATGCCATTTGCATTGCTGGTTTACATCATCAATTGTTTATTTTTTTTAATTTCTAAATAGTATGGTGCTTTATGATACTTATTCTCCAATCTGCATATACATGTAGAGCAATAGGAAATATCTTTTTGACCTTGATTTTGAAGAGACATCTCAATGAATATGTATGCTTGATCTTTTATTTAATGACAAATTATAGGTGACTATTTTCTCTTCTTGATTTTTATTTATGTATGTTAGGATATATAGTAAGGTTAAGTTCCAAATTGTGAGTACATTCCTTTTGTTGCGTAAACCCATTGTATATTTCATTGGGAAATAGACTAATGCCAAACTTAAAACATTACCAATATTGTTTATCCTGTAATAGCCCTTAAGGCATTAACAATCTTATGCATGCAGTCATGATCAGTTTATCCATTTTTCCTTTGACCACAGAATACTTGACAGGAGACATTGAAATGAAATGAAATAAAAAAGCTAAAATTGCACCCCAAATTCAATTTAGGTTTATGACAGAAAACAAAATCTGAACAAAATAGCAATTACAACAAAAAGGACAAATAATTTGGTAGATTTGTTTATAATGAATTATATGTGTACACAAATTAAAAGAAGAAATTGATTTTTTATGCCACCTTAAAATATTACAACTTTTCTGGATTAATTTAATATTTTTTGTGAGAGCGATCAGTATTTTTTGTGAAAAAAATCAACAATTTTTATTGGCTGAGACAACGCAAAGTTGTACAGCTGGATTAAGAGTTTATTTGATCCATTTACATCAAAAATTATAAAATTTGTTCATGCCTGTATGCTAAGATTGATTAATTTCTATTTATTGGGTGCTTTATAACTCCCAAATGCCATCCAATACTCTTCTGTCCATGTATATATAAAGGTTTGTATTCAAGTGACTTGAAATGTATAATTTTGGTTTATTTTCAGACATTGAAACCTTGTGTAATCCTTATATAAATTATATATCGAGATCCCCTTATAGATGCATACATCTCTATCATCTAGCTCCTGTTGCGAGCTCACTATCTTATATGATTTGTTAGGTCTGCTACCCCAAATATCGGTTCAGGTTTCGATTATATTGTATATCATGTTTTAAATCAGTATTAAGGAAGAATAAGTTATTCCAAAGGACTTGTGTATATGAGTATGGGGGGAGGTGGTGTGTAAAATAGGCTGTATATTTTGTAAGTACTAGGATTGATATTATATGCATGAATTTATTATGGTGATCAGGATGAAAACTTTGATGCTTTTTCTTGACGCTCTGAGCCTGAACACATGTCAGTATTGTAAACAAGTTCACCCAGTAAGGTTCATTCACACAAGATGCTGTAGACCGCCTTATAAAGAATGCTGTGGCAAAATAAAAATAATAACTCTTTGTGAAAGATGGCAAATGGACACAGGAAAAAAAAACTTTGAAATATAAGCATACACGTCCATCAGTGTGTGTAAAGATGCAGAAAAATCATATAGGGACTTTTCATTTTGCTTCAGCATACTTTAAAGCAGTTTAACATGTTAGGTGTGAAAGAGGTTGAAGAGGGTTCACATATTTCTCTGAAGCAGTCGACTGTTTGAAAATGGACTGTTTTTTATTGGAAACTGGTTTATGACAGCAACTAAAAGTATTCTTTCTGTGAAGAATGGCTGATTTTTTTTCTCTGCAGCTGGTATAGATATTTTAATGTATTTTTGGTCTTTGAAGAGAGGGCACAATACATCTCTCGTCAGATTCCTCATTTTTGGTGCTGCCTTAATAGTTTGGAGCTAGAAGGACATTAATTCATATACTCCATCACACAGTTAATGCCCTTCTGGGTCTCGACTTCTAAACACATTATTTTCCGTATTGCATTAGAGCATCAGAGATTTCATTCTGACCGTCACCAGAGTGATTCATGCAGGCTAAGGTGTGTCAGTGACTCTTATTCGGGAGCTTTCTGTGCCCATGCCTCATGACATCGATGGTTCGCTTTAAACTCTTCACAAACCAAGCACATTTTGAAGAATCTGATCCATTGGTAGGTTAATCAATTCAATAGAACAATTGAAAATCCAGTTTTTCTTTAATTGGTAACAATTTATAAGAGGGATTACAAAAGATACACCCTGTGTATTGTAGCAATGGTAGATTCTGAAATGACATGGCCATTTGACAACACTCATTTATGAGCCAACCTTTGCTGAAGATGTTTATTGCTGAAATCATATGATGTCATGTTGGTATGAGATACAGAATGATTCTTGTATGTTATAGTTAATCCCTGTTTGGACCGGGACTAACTTGTTAAAAACTTCTATGCATTCTGTATAGGTACATTGTTATATAAGGACATTTTCTATCGCAATCACAAATACGTGATTACTGTAAGTAAGGTATTATCTTGTAAATAAGGTATATATAAGGAACCAGATCATTACAGGTATTGTACAGGTGTAAGATAAAAGTTGTAAAATAAGCCAAAAAGGTTCATATTACTGTAAATTTTAAGTATGAATCTGTTGTTCAACTCCTACCAAATTATCTTTATGTGAGCAAGATTTATATGAGTACTTCCAAAGAAAGTAACAAGGATGAAAATATGTTCCAAATGTGCTCTATATCTATCAAGAAATGCATGGCATACTGTATGAAAAGTGCTTGTTTGTAAGTTGTTTGTCTTGATTTTTATTAATTGGGAGGACTTTTGTGTTCTAAAACAGAATGTTGTATTTTTGTAGAAGAAAGTCTTTTCAAAGAGAGGATATAGAAAGAGGATTGGAATTGAACTGATGCAGAATTTTTGTAATTGCTTGTAAATCAGTTAAGAGAAGTAGACGGAATGGTACCAACAAGTTATAAGCAAACAAGGATGATATTTTTGGGTCTGTCTTCTGCTAAATCAGATACACGACCCATGGTCTAAAATCACATTTCACAAAACAAAAATTTAGACCTCAGTGTGACTTTCTTTGTTGAGCCCAATTTTGGGCTAATGCCTAAAACCAAGTGTCGGATTAAAATTGGATCTTTGAAATAAATATCATGTTTTTGTCTCAAGACATGTGGCATTTGGCCCATTCACACACAAGAAAAAAGTGAAATTTTAAGGTTGAATCACAATTCAGGTCCCATGTTATGTGTGCTTGTTTCCATGTTGGATATATGAAATAGATTTTCAGTATCTCACTTGTAGTGACTCGTTCTAGAGAGTGCACAGCAATAACTTCAGTGCGACTTTATCATGAACCAAATCTTACGTATGAGTGAGATGTTTAAGCCGCCAGGTCTGTTAGATGCACATGAAAAAAGGGTGAGATTCTGATCACTGTTAAAAGAAAATGATTGTTGGATTTCAAAAATTGCTCTGTGTGTGAATGGCCTATTGCTACCGATGACAAAGTCTGGTCGGTATTAAGACTTTTTGAGAGCAAAATGTCATTAGATAGAAAGGAATCTATATTAATGCTCTTTGTAAATGAGAAGTTACAATATGCTGCCAAAGAAATGGCTTTATGTGGAATGATGCAAGAGAGGATTATTGTCATGAGAAAAGTTTAGTCAGCTCTGATCTGAATTTTTAAACTTGGTTTCTTTGAACTTGGACATTGTATATTTGTATCATTGAGATAATGTGTGCTTGCAAAGATTTACAGATTATGTAATCTGTAGCAACAAAAAAAGGACTGGTTATAGTTCAAAATATGAGTGCATTTAAAAAGACGCTGAAGGATATATTGCAACAAAAATTTGATCAGATAGGATTTATAAGGTAGGAGTTCCATGCAATGTGAGAATAGAAGAACATGACAGATTCGATTTGAAGGTAGGGATAATAATTATAGGGCTTTAAGGTATTGAAGGTCTCATGAAGATGAAATCTAATTCAGTATTGTAAGAATTAGGATGATTTATGAAGGTTTGCAATTGTTGCTTTGTTTGACCCTGTATATGCAGGCACTTTATGTCATTGGTGTGTTTTCCCTCCAAGTCAGGGACAAAAATGAGAGAGCCTTTGTAATGCATGCTTGATGATAGTGATGATGATGACGATGATGATGATGGTGATGATGATGATGATGATGATGATGATGATGATGATGAAAATATACAATTAAAAAGCATGTCAACAACAACAGATTTCATTGTCTCAGAATGAGCAATGAAGGTGTTGATTGTTGATTACTAAACAACAAATCTATACATGTATATGCAAAGCAGTCTCATTTGTAAATACTACTCTGTGTTTTTATGAGTTGTCTAGTGACAAATGGCGATTCCTTGTTCCTCTCCTGTGCCCTAGAGATGGAAAATAGGAGAAAGTTGGAAAGAAAGAGGGGAGAGAAGAGGTGAGAGATAGAGAGGGAGAGAAGGGAAGGGTGAGAGGGAGGGAGTGAAGGGGAAGGGGGGGAGATAGAGAGACCGAGCACGAAGAGAAAGAAAGAGAGAGGGAGACAGAAAGAAATAGATAGCAAGAGAGGGATAGAGAGAAAGAAAGAGAGAGGGGGAGAAAGCCTGATATATGTAAAAAGGGTGACAAAGGGTATGAAACAGACAAACAAATAATTTCATTGATGCAGAGTAAACAAAAATAATATATATATATAAACAAATGAAATATAAGGGGGGGGGGAAGTCCGCCAGAGAGAAGAGAAGATTCCTTGATATTTTGGTACAGAGTAAATGCTGGTAAGGATCACGTTGGATAACAAAAGCCAGAATGTTTTCCGTGTTTATCGTGCAATACCCAGACATTGTAAAATCTCCCTTACAAGTTCAGCTTTTGAATTCAGACAAGGATTAAAAGTCGAGAGCGGTACAACGAATCGTCTTCTTTCTCTAATATTTAAATGACATGTCATAGCTTCTACACTGGCGAGGGGCGAAACAAGAAATAAGAGTCGCGAACGGTACAACGAATCGTCTTCTTTCTCTAATAAATTAATGAAGTGTTAAAGCTTCCGCCCTTTGAGCGGGAGGGGGGCAACTGAAAAAATAACTTAGTTCCTGGCCCCGGGTTTATAGGGTTAAATTTGTAGACATTGGACATTGGCATTGATATATTTGTAGGTAATATTTATTGGTGGCTAGTTTTGTCGGTAATCGGTGGTCTCTACACCCCCCCCCCCCCCACTGAAAAAGGTCTAGCGATGCCCCTGATAACAACTCAGTTTATACTCAATTTTTGCAAGTACTATACTGTTTAAGTATCAGACCACCGTCTTTGTGCATTATGCAGCAACAAAGCATATACAATGCATCGCGACGTGACAGGTCACATTTCTCTAACTTCTAACCAATCACAGTGGCGGATCCAGGGGGGCCGAAACGGCCGCGGCCCCCCCCCCCCCCCCCCCACTATTGGCGGGGCAAAAAAAAAGAAAAAAAGAGGAAGAAAAGAAGAGAAAAAAGGAAAGGAGAAGAGAAGAAAAAAGGAGAAGAGAAAAGAAAGGAGAAGAGAAAAGAAAAGAGAAAAGAAAAGAAAGAAGAGAAAAAAAAACAAAGAGAGAGAGAGAGAGAGAGAGAGAGAGAGAGAGAAAGAAAGTTGAAAATAAAATGAATAAAGCCCGGAGGGACCGAATTTGTGTTCCCAAAATCTCCACAAAAGGGTTACTTTTCACGCAAGAAAGTCCGGCCCGTAATACACAAAAATGGGAGAAGAGAAAAGTTGGATGAGAAAGGGGGAAAGACAAGGATATGGCGCTAATTGACAGTAACGACGAATAAGCAAAAACTGTAATAGGGAGATTTGAGGGGCCGGGCCGGCCGCATAAAATCTCGAGCCGCGGATTCAAAGTTAAACGTTAAAAAGAGCCCTTGCGCTACAAAGGTCATCACTCTTCAGTGAGAAATTTGAAAAGGACACCATATTTTTGATGTCTTTTAAATAGAAGCTATATACTCATATAATTTTTAATTAACGGTAGGGTCGCTTCACAACTCTTATTTTGCCCTTCATTTAAATTCAGCTCATACCGATTCGCTTGTTCGTGTATTTGAACTGTTCGTAGTAATCATGAACAGGGGCGGCAATCCTGGGCCCGATATAGAGGGACACGTCCCCCAGGAAATTTAGAAATATAGCTAGAAAGAAATATAGCGGAAAGGAGGTATGGGCTTAGGTATTTTCTAGAATGCATAATTTCAGCATTCAACATTGCAAAGTCTCGATTGGCCGCTACGCCCCGGCCCTCGCCCGATAACTCAAAACTATGATATGACGCTCCCGGCCGTGATTTATCCATGGTTGGTGTAATATAGATCTTTCTTTTTTTCCCTTTCATTTCTACTAGCCTAATTATGTGCTATCACAATCATGATTGTTTCATTTTCCCTTTAAAGCAGGCGCGTAGCCAAGGGTGGTAGGGGCAGTAAGAGGACATACATGTAGGACGAAAACGGAGCAGACAAGGAAACATTTTTGAAAATTCTGACAAGTCTAGAACGGTACAACGAATCGTCTTCTTTCTCTAATAATTAAATGAAATGTCAAAGCTTCCGCGCTTCGCTCGAGAGGGGGGCCGCAACTATATTCAGGCAAGGATTAAGAGTCGAGAATGGTACAACGAATCGTCTTCTTTTTCTAATAATTTAATGAAACGTCAAAGCTTCAGCCGCTTTGCGCGGGAAGGGGGGGGGGGGGGGGGGGGGGACTCAATTCAGACAAGGACAAAGAGTAGAAAACGGTACAACGAACCGTCTTCTTTCTCAATTATAATTTAATGAAACGTTAAGCTTCCGCGCGCAAAGCGCGGGAGGGGGGAACTGAATTCAGACAAGGATTAAGAGTCGAGAATGGAACAACGAATCGTCTTCTTTCTCCGAAATTAATGAAAGATCAAAGCTTCCGCGCTTCGCGCGGGCGATAGAAAACTGACTTCAGACAAGGATTACGGGTCGAAAATAGAACAACGAATCCTCTTCTTTCTCTAATAATTTAATGAAACATCAAAGCTTCCACGCGCTTCACGCAGGAGGGGGAAAACTGCATTCAAACAAGGATTAAGAGTTGAGAATGGTATAACGAAACGCCTTCTTTCTCTAATAATTTAAAGAAACGTTAAAGATATTACAAAGTTTTGGGAAATTTTTGAAAGTGGGTGGATAGTGATTCTTTACAATTTTTAATATGTTTGGATACCCCTGTGGATGTATTAAAAACACTGGAAATTTTAGCCCCTAAAACACTTCTGCTTTCGAGAAAATTGAATATAAAGATTTACCGGTGCTCCCGGTAAATTTTTTGATAAATTTCAAATAGCTCCTACGGCCGTACAATGGTAGCTGCGACCATGAAAATTTTAGAATATGTAGTTGTGGTATATTATTTCCGAACGAGAATAGCTAATCAGTCAATTTTAGTCAATAAACATTGTTTTTATAGCTTGATTAATATCTTGACCTTGAGAGGGAGCTATTCAACATAAAAGTGTTTATTATTTACAATTTCATAACTTTAGAGTCGATTTCGACCGCGACAACAATCACTTACTATTGTAGGATCGTATATGCTTCCAATATGTTCATTTAAACCAAATTCATGACCCCATACCAAAACTTTGTATTACCTTTAAGCGTCTGCGCGGAAGGGGGGAAACTGAATTCAGAGTCGAGAATGGAACAACGAATCATCTTCTTTCTCTAATAATTTCATGAAACCATGAAAGGTCAAAGTTTCCGCGCTTTGCGCGGAAGGGGGGCAGGCGCGATCCAGGATTTCTTAGGGGGGGGGGGCCCAAATTTGAAATTATGCGAGCCAAATATTGGTACGTAATGTTAACCAACAGTGACGTAATGCGGAGGGGGGGGGGTCGGTGCAGAGAGGGGCGAGTTTTTTCCCCACCCTCCTCCACGAAACGGGAAGCTTTGACGTTTCATTAAATTATTAAGAGAAAAGAAGACGATTCATTGTAGAGTTCTCGACTCTTAATCGTTGTCTAAATTCAGCCTCCTCCCCCTCCTGCGCGAAGCGCGGAAGCTTTGACGCTTCATTAACTATTAAAGAAAGAAGACGATTCGTTGTACCGTTTCTCGACTCTTAATCCGCGTCTGAATTTAGTTTTTCCCCCTCCCCGCGCAAAGCGTGGAAAATTTTTACGTTTTATTAAATTATTAGAGAAAGAAGACGATTCGTTGTACCGTTCTCGACTCTTAATCCTCGTCTGAATTCAGATTCCCTCCCGTCACGAGCGAAGCGCGGAAGCTTTTACGTTTCATTAAATCATTAGAGAAAGAAGACGACTCGTTGTACCGTTCTCACTCTTAATCCTCTCGTCTAAATTCAGTCCCCCCCTCCGCCTCCTGCGCGAAGCGCGGAAGCTTTGAAGTTTCATTAAAACTATTAAAGAAATAATACGATTCGTTGTAGAGTTCTCGACTCTTAATCCTCATCTGATTCAGGTCCCCCCCCCAAGCTTTTAAGTTTTATAAGATTATGAGAGAAAGAAGACGATTAATTGTAGAGTTCTCGACTCTTAATCCTTGTCTAAATTCAGCCCCCCTCCCCCTCCTGCGCGAAGCGCGGAAGCTTTTACGTTTCATTTAATCATTAGAGAAAGAAGACGATTCGTTGTACCGTTCTCGACTCTTAATTCTCGTCTGAATTCAGGTCCCCCCCCCCCTCCCGTGCGAAGCGCGGAAGCTTTTAAGTTTTCATAAGATTATGAGAGAAAGAAGACGATTGGCTGTACAGTTCTCGAATCTTAATCCTCGTCTGAATTCAGGTTCCCCCCCGCGCGGAAGCTTTTAATTTTCATTAAATCAATAGAGAAAAAAGAAGATTCGTTGTACCGTTCTCGAAAATAATCCTCGTCGGAATTTAGTTCCCCTCCAACCTCGCGCAAAACGCGGAAGCTTTACGTTTCATTAAAGATTATTATTACCGTTCTCGCCTCTGACTCCTCGTCTGAATTCAGGTTCCTCCCCCTTCGTTCCCCTCCAGCAAAGCTTTGACGTTTCATAAGATTATGAGAGAAAGAGAACGATTCACTGTACCGTTCTCGATTCTTAATCCTTGTCTGAATTTAGTCCCCCCCCCCTCCCCCTCCTGCGCGAAGCTTTGACGTTTCATTAAATTATTAGAGAAAGAAGACCATGTGTTGTACCGTTCTCTATACCTCCTAATCCTTGTCTGAATTTCAAAGATGTTCTTTGTCTGTGCTCCTTTTACTTTCTACGTCCTCTTCCAATTTGGGGGACCGC